AAGGTCCGCTGATCAATTACGTGAATAACGGAACGAGAGTTCATAATTAATTATCGAGACGATTATTGTTTAATTAGCTTAGTAAAAACAAGTGACGTATACCGACTAGTTGACAAACAAATCGAAGATAACCCTGTTTAAATTTTAAAATAGTATTATTATTCTATTAGAGGTACCCTTATTTGTATTCACGAGTGTTTGAAACTCGGATAAGGAGTAAAAGCGCGCATAATTAAAATAGGTTACTTGAGGCTTAATTCAGTTTTAATTGCACAACTATCGTAGTAAGGGCGATAGTGCGAGCTAAGCCTGATAACATCCCCCGGTCGGCAAACACACCTACACGAAAAGATAAATCGCTCTCCCAAAACCCCCATTTAATTCCCGACCGTTATGGAGCCAATTTAAATGCAAGGAGTCTGTTGAAAAAGAGGCATTTGCTCTTATCAAATCCTTCGTAACAGAATACTATGTAGTGTAGTTGATAAACAAACCACAAAGACGATGTTCAATTCGATAGTAATTTGAAGAGAAAAGAAAAGCGATTAGGGAAGGCAAAATACTTGTCATATCTGATGGTAAATCCAGCTGCTGGGAAGCTAATAATTGTATTGATTTTTCTAGAGTTTATTAATTGCCGCTGACAATATGACGATTTCTGTAGCTGCTCCAAAATTAATTGGTGTATTGTGCGTTTCCGCGTTGTTAATGTGAAGAACCTCCAAAGGTTTGGAGGTGGCACTTCAGATCCTTGTGTTAAGATCTCTAAACTGGGAAGCAGGATTATAAATTTAGTCTACTTTATAGACAGAGTAGAGATGGCAATACAGTTGCAAAATTCAGAGAATTGTGTAATAATAAAGGATCCACAATTGCTGTTGGGAAAGTGTTGGGTACTGAAGAAATACTTGGTGGATATAACCCAATTGCATGGTGTTCTCAAGATGGTTATACTGACTGTTACTAAAGAAAGTTTTATATTTGCATTAGATATAGATAAAAACATAGATAAGAGTATAGTAAGTTTTGTTGGTAATAATAGTTCAGGTGCTGCCATTTATGATCATAGTAATTATTTTCCTGTTTTTGGAAATGGCTTGATTTATTTTTTGGTAATAGTAACTGAGGTGCTACCCCAGGTGCTCAAAAGAGTGCATACCAACTTTCAATAAGGAATTCACAAGCTTTTTTTAAATGGGCTGATTGGGAGGTATTCTTAGTTTCAAAATTTTGACTACCTTTTATGCCTATCAAGTTTATGGGTTGAAATTGATATATTAATATTAGGAGTATTTGTTCATAAAACAAATAATGCTTGCTTTGAAACTGATACCTGTGCTTATAGTATTATTTTAGTGCATTAATGCATTTTACCATACTTCTTAATCTAAGTGGGAAGTTCACTGTACTGTAATAGTAATTAAAGATATCAGACATATGGGGGTATAAAAAAAATTATAATATTAATATGAGCCCATTCTCCACGATGATAGACACACATAACGTAGATTTCAATGCTTTCGTATCCGAGCCTTTTGATTGAACCGGTTTCACTTTGACGGTACGTCGAGTGATAATTGTCTGTTGAGTCGTAGTGACAACCATACGTTTGTTTGTGTTCCTCGCTTTCCCACTGATCGAATTTGAAGTGTTCATATAGAACGTTCTTCGATGTCTACACCATTGATATTTACATTGAGCCATTCTTTCGTCTTTGTACAGCTTCCAATCCACTCATTATTATGTTTCCATAATGAGATTCTCAAGAAGGAAGTCACAAGGACTGTAATGAGAGTCGGAAATTCGAGCTGTAAATGCAGAGATAAGTTCAGCCTCGGATGTAAAGTTGAACAGTCTCGCCAATGCTTGTTAAGTATGAAAGAAGCTGAAGTGCTATGATGCTGATTTCAAGTTTAGCTCCATCGCCCATGTGAATGAATAAAAGTCACGCTGATAACGTGCAATTGTCCTTTCTTAGATCCCTTGTTCTGAGGTCCACGTGTTTGTCAACGTGCTTGCCCTCGACATGGCATCCGCGCGCAATGCTTGACAAAGTCTTTTAATTCTAGACAAGAGAGTGTCGCTGAGTAATGCGTTGTAGTCGTAAACGGTAAACGTATAATTTCGTATACTGGAATGTAAAAGATTTCGGTGAGTTGTTATTATGGATGTTTTGCGTCTTTCCAATCTGCCAGCCGGGTTGTGTGAATGAAATAAAATTATTTGTTACAGCAGGAAAATAACCGATATCGATATACTGTTAAAAAACTGATATAGCATTCACAATACTCACACTAATATTTTACTTGAACTATTGTACACTGTACATATTGCCTGGACTACAAAAGGTACAGGTACAGTAATTTGGCAATATTGGTTTTTTAAGCTTATTTGATTATTTAAGGTTTTGAGCAAAATCCGCAATAGCTAAGCTGAATGGGAGAATAGAACGTGTTAAATGTTATTAGTCGTGAACAGAACAATTCAATATATTTATTGGTTGTGTATGCGAAAATTATTTTTTTGGTACACTAAATTAGCGTGTTAAAAAAAGCTATTAATAAAATTTCTCATGTTTATTTTTAGGAAAATGAGGACATTAGTCGCTGCATGAAAGTAAGCGACAACGCTAGAGACCGGTTTATCACTGAAACTGGTATAACATTTACAAGATTCTGTTTTACTAATAGAAAAAAAAAATTACAGCCGATTTTCCGTAATGACTGATCCACTTGGTTTATCATATAGTTTTTAGCGGATCAACACCTTAGTATTAGATTGGAATTTCATAACAAAACGATCTAATTATTATATGTTGTAAGACAATATATTTTATTTTATATATATACGTATATATATATATATATATATATTTGTTTACCAAAATTTTTTATATAAACAGTGGCTTTCCGACAAGCATTTTTACGGCCACCATAGCAATAGCTACTAGCTACGCTACTAGTATCTCGTAACTTTAAAATTGAAAGGCGTTTTCCGGTGTTGATCATTGCCAAAAGATAATAAGCGCAGATAGATGTTATAGGACAAAGAAAAATCTGGGTTCAATCTTTACAATATGTTAATAGTGTAGTGTAATATTAACAGATCGAAAACCTGATTGTTCTCAGTGTGGATGATTTTCATAATATCCACGAGTATCGTCGTAGCGACACGACAGCCACACATAATATTTCTCATTACTCCTAAAAGCCTTGTCTGAGGAAGCATCTATTCCATTTCACAACCCTAACCAAGAGAAGAGTATACATAATGTAAAAGTCATTGATGCAGATATTATCATTCAAAATGCTTATTCATCCTTCCTCTTTTATTTATGGCTTAGTTATACAGCCCGAAGACAGGCTATAGGTCTTACACCAGCATCAGAGACTCATAATGAACGAATCAAACGTCTCTTAATCCACTGTTACGATGACAGAATCGAACTGATCGAAGCATGGTCGTTTGTCTAAAAGAAGGATCCCTCCACTCGACCAAAGATTATATAAATGCTCTTGAACACTTGATGAGCATTCATGAGGTCAGAAACTATCTAGAAACGCAAGTCTTAATTGCACTTGTGGACAACGTTATGTACAACCATTACGTCAACACTGGAGATGTTTCTAACATACGACAACAAATCTTGCATATTGTTCCGATGATCGGACCTTTGCATGTATTCCTTCATGAAGTGTTTGGACGTCAGAAGGTTCTGGCAAGAAAACCAAAGCCTTACAACATTAATCTGTTGCTAGAGTTAGCATCACAAGGCTGGTCTCGAGTGTGTAATTCAGCGGAAATTTGAACAGTCTAAAGATGCTGAAGTCAGATATCTTATAAATTTATTAGATAACATCATTCCGCTGGTTTTGGATTTTTATCCTGTTATATTTCGCAATGGAAACTGGTCAGCATACAAAGAAGCAATGTTTCGGGTTGGGCTATATTTTATCAATATCGTCGTAAAAATTATAATAAGTTACCATTAGCCTTTTTAAGTGATGTTTTCTACTAAGCTAACACTAATCATCCTGTTTTGCAAGTTCTTACAGATTCTCTCCATGCATTAAATGATTATAATATGGAAAATTTTCACAGCTCACTATGTCGACAGATACAGAAAACGAACGCGGCAGAACAAATCATTCAGCGGACACAAATAATTGATTGCATGCATGATAATAATTCAGTTGAAAATGTATTTTTTGAGAACCATAATCAGCCAAACAGCTTGAATATCTTGAAAAGCGCGCTGCACTCTTTCTATTAAATCTCTTTACAGACGTTTCGGATGTCCCAGTAAGATATTTTGCATTTCGGCTAGAGTTACGTCAAATTTGAAGTCTTTATGAAGACTTATGAGAATCTTAACAGACGGAAAATAATTTTATCAAATGTACGTTCAAAATCCAAGGTTTGTGAACTTCCAACACTTGGAATTAAAATACTGCCAATGGGCCTGGAACACAACACATCCTCCTCAAATGAACATATTTTGTGATTTGGAGGAATGTAGCAACTCTTGTGAGGTAGGCTGTGTTTTGGCTTGTGGGCATGCTTATCACTATGAGTGCTTTTTTTTTACAGTTAGGAAGTCAATACCAGTACTGTATGGCTGTATCTTGTGGGTGGGATTTAGTACAACTATAGAATTTTTGCAAGAGCTCTTGAATACTTTAACAAGCGCTTAAGTTTTAATTGTTATTTTTTAAATAAATCAAACCAATAATAATAGTATTGCAGAATTTTCCGACCAATCATAAAAAGCTGTACTCACAACCCGCCCACCAATCGCAACGCGTAAATCATCATATATATCCGATCACAGATAACGATCAATCACAGAAAATTTTTTTGGCCAAAGCACCTCAACTAAAATCGTTTTACTCAGAATTCATGTCTTACTTTGACAATTATCCTGCTGAGGTCTGGAGCTATAAAAACTTCATCCATTACGCGTCCGGGAATAGTTGTCTCCCACGCAACCCTGCGAAAACTTGGAATTACGCTTACAAGCAAAGTTTGGACGAGATTGAACGTCGATACGGACATACAGACGAAAAGGGCCGAAAAGCGTCTCGATTGAAGAGCTCTTTTAAGGCAAGTACATCGATCTGGCAAAAAGCCGCCTCACGTTGGCAGTGCTATCTGGATTTTAGCCAGATCGATACTACAGGGCGCTTACACACCGCCCTGGGTTTCCTCGAGGGCACTGGTGACTGGCTTGTTCGATACTACAGGGCGCTTACACACCGCCCTGGGTTTCCTCGTCGCGCCGGGCAATTATTTAATTATTAGTACATGTTTATATGTCACATATACGCTATAACATATCACATATACACTATAATTTAAAGCATGTGCTAATAATTTTTTATTCTATTATTGCTTGAAAGAGTGACAAAAAAATGGAGGAAGCATGGCTGATTAGTCAGGGTGAGATAGCGACAAAAAAACGAATTGAATGCATGATTGATATTTTGGCCGCCAAAGAAAAGCTTGAAGAAGTGAGCTTAAAAATGTAACATATTTCTTGCTTTTGTGAATTCTCTGACCTTTACATTTATCGGCCTGACCAGCACAAATACAAGATGTCACTGAATAGCGACGTCAGACAAGAAAAAACAATATACTCCACCCGGCAGCTAGGGAAGCGTAAAAGATGTGAAGAGGATAGTATAAGTTTGGAAACTGATATCTTGCCTACAGGGTAGGGTCTTCTGTCTCTTAATTTCCTCTAACGTGTGATCCCATCACTGATGCACCCATTTGATACAACTGTAGTGCCTTATATCAGGAAGCTGACAGTGATAGTGGTGTCCAAACGGTAAGGGCAATGATAATTACTTGATTATCAGTGTTGAACACATAGATGCTATCTCAAAGGCGAATCATACAGGGTGACGATGAATGCAGCGATGATGCAGGAGTGAGTGATGCATGCGAGAAAGAGCTCGAAAGACATGCAATAGAAACCGCTCACAGTACGGGAGAATGGATTATTTGTGATACGAAGACTAATATACGAGACGAGCTCACTCGTTGGCAGTCCGCTAAAGAACGAAAACATGACGAGTAAAATTTCATTAGATTGCATCTACAAATCGAATAGCAGTAGTAGTAGTTACTAACATGACATGACAATTTAGCCTCGCATATTACGACATTATCGATATCACCCCAGGCACGAATAGCGATTTCCTGAACACGCTACCACAGGATGTACTTCAACAAGTGAAAGGGTTTGGGTCATCGCCACCTCATGCTGATAATGGCAACCTTAATGAATTGATTATAAAAATGGTCAAGGTTTGGACTATTTAATAGACCGAGACAAAGCTTTGTGATTTCTTGAATATACATGTGTATTGACATGTTTCATTTATCACTATAGGCGGATAGTTTTCAAAATGCAGTTAACGAAAACTTTCTCTTGACAAGAGGCGATATCAATATGGAATTCATGTGGGATTTTGCATATCAACTGTAAGACTGCTATTTGTGTGGAAACGTGTACGACATAACTTCTGCGCGACTGATATCTTCTTTCTTTTTCAATAGTTGCAGGTCTTTTGATCGCAGAGAAGACCTTCTTAGGGAGAATCTATCAGAGCGGATGTATCGGGAGTTTTTTTTAACACCAATCATGCAGAGCTTATTCCAAGAAACAAGCAAAGATATGGATGTCTTTTTGTATGTGATGACTGGTATTGCGCTTTAATATGCAGAGAAATTATTTACCTAAATTATTTTATCCATTTAGTGGAGAGGTGGCCTTGTTTGCATCTGCTGAAGACTTTGACTTGAGGAAAAGTGATGCTGAAAAGCATAGCATCAGCCGGAAAATTGATATCGTTTGGTCAACAAAGCCACCTAGATTGGAATTTGCAATCGGCAAAATTAGCGGACCACCCAATCAACATCAGCATTCACGTTTTTTCGAGGATAAAATTAAAATTGCAAAAATGTTAAAAATCATGCTCAATAGGATCGTGCAGATTTCTGGTGGTACCTGTGCTAATATCAATATGCTAAAACTTCACGGTTTACAATTTTATGGTGAGTATTTTCGATTGTTTAATAATATTACTCGCTTGACTTTTAACCCTCAATGCAATCAGGTCACGTGGCAATCATGTACGAATTGACCGTACCGTTCCGAGGATTATATTTATTTAGAGAAGTGTTCAGGTCGCCACTACCTACCAGCAATATTAATCTTGTGCAGCTACGCCGATGTGTTCCAGCATTGATTCTATTCAAGGTACATTATCATGTCTTGTGGTAATTTCAGTTCCATTCCTATACTAATGCTTGGTGTTATATACACTGTAAGAATATGTTAATGCAAAGCCTGAACAACTTAAAGACATATATAAAGGAATCTGGACTTTCTACAGATCCCATGGGTAATAAGTTTGACTGCAATGACCTACATTCCGAAGAAGAAAGACACTCAGAAGAAAAACACTCAGAAGAAGCACACAGGAAAAGCAAAGGAATGAATTACAAAGGCTCAGCTCATTACTTATATTAATATAGAGATAACTTTTGCATATATAGAAAGTTACAAATAAAACAAACTGTAAATGTAAATGATGAGAATATGAAAAAGCTCTTCATTTCTTAGAAGTGGAATGTAACTGTGCCAAGATGCTCAAAAAAGAACTTGGGAAGCATTTCAAGTTCTGTCCAAACCAGAACAAGATATATTTCTAATGGCATAATTAAAACAATGGATGGTGGATCAACAAACATCTAAAAAACACAACACATATTAATGAGAACTTTTTGTTACTGAGATCACAATATGCCACTTTGTCAGAAAACGTATTTCAATATATATATTAGGAATTGGTCACACTCACTTCAAAAACGTCAGAAATTATCTGGCAACGAACAGCATCATATTGCATGTTCATGGTAATATGGAAAACCCGTTGCTACTGCCATGAAGAAATTATGCTGAAATTTATGGACTACCAAGTCTTGGTAGAAACATTAATCGCCAAAACGAGTTACAAATCGGTCTATCGTTATTAAAATATGATGCATTCCAAGTTATGACACCAATTAACGCATGCCTTATTAGACACAGGACATGTCTTTTTTTTTTTTTTCAATATAATTTACTTCCAACTTGAACTATTTGATTTTTATTTCACCAAAGACTTGTTGCCTGTAGTCCAATCGAGTGGTCTTGGCACTTTAATTCGAAACAGAATGCATCTATACCAGGTTTTAATTGATATATACAATCCAGACAGAATCCAATCTCATCTTTTTCTTTGATTAGATAATACTTTTGTCATTTGCATCATATGTAAATCCAATTGTAACCCATGCATGTCTGTTAAGAATATATCACATAACTATGAAAGAATATACATTAAGTTATAATTATCTAAACAATCATACATTCACAGTTGAATAGTTACCTTGTTGAAAGAGGACTCATTGTCAGCGGTTTTCTTTGCGAGGCGGCTGCGCTCCCTCACCGTGACAATAGAGCTCTGTGGTGTCGATGCTTAGTGATGAGGCCACCGACTTAGCCAACTTTATTATACTACTTAAGTATATCTTTAGGATTTTGTCCCTAATTCTTTCTTGCTAGACGAATGATTTTGCGTTGACTATTATCTTTCATGATTCGTGTTTCGTAGT